GACCACGGTTACTCGCAAGAATACGGCTAAATCCTTAGCCGTTACAGATAAACCGAAGGTCATCAAACAAGCCTCGTTCCGCCTAGACGCAAACCCAGCTACGCAGTCACAGCTCTCGAACCTATCATCCTTTTCGCTAAGACAGGCTCTCAACAAGGCCTTCCAGTTTAAGTTCCCGAAGCTAAAGACTATAATCGCTGCCGCAATAATCTCTCCGCGGGGAAATCTCGTCCTTACAGCATTTAACGGCCTCTCTGCGAAATTCCTAGTAGATAATAAAGTAGTTATTAACTCGGTTCTTCCTACTACATCGGCCGTTAAGAACCGCAGCTAGTTCAAGATAGCCGTACACGGAGTCCCAACCGCTAACATCCTAAACGAATCTCGAGAATCTTTCGCAGAGCTCGTTCGGGACGAAGTAAAGACCTTTAATAAAGGTCTTAATCCCGTCGGTAACCCGTACTAGCTAACCTCCGAAGAAAAACGGTAGATAGCTAAGGCCGGCTCTATAACCCTCGCCTTCGAATCAGAACGGGAAGCCTTAAAAGCTATATTAGGACGTCTCTACCTCTTCGGAGTTAGCTGCGCTGCGGAAAAGCTAAGAGGCCCCCGGAAGGCCTCTCCCCCTCGAAAATAGACGTCCTTCTATATAGGATCTATTAGAGTCTTACAGGCAAATATAAACCGAAATAAGGAGACTACTAAAGCTCTCCTTAATTACGCTTTAGAGATTAACGTCAACCTAATTCTTATACAAGAACCGTAGGTTTTAATCTCCTCTAATCCCTCTGACACTCGATCTATAAACCATACCTTATTTATCTAAACTCTCCCGGAAACTCCTACTAGATTAAGGCCACGCGTACTAGTTTATACCTCTCGGTTCTTAACCGACACGCAGGTTAACTTTAGGGCCGACCTCTTCGCTTCTACGGATACAATAGTTCTAGATATACTACAAGGAATAAGCTAATTCCAACTAGTTAACCTTTATAACCAACCGAACCAGCGAGAACCCGGTTCTCCCTATACAATAGAACGCGTCCTAGGCTATTACTAGATAACCACGCCTTCTATAATAGCCGGGGACTTTAATACGCATCACCTATAGTAGGACCCCCGCTCTCCTCAAGGACCACGCGCACAAGAGCTAGTAGACTAGCTCGAATCTAATAACCTAAGCCTCCTAAATAACCCGGGAGAGGGTACCTTCTTCCGGCCGCATCTAGAGCGCGAAACGGTAATAGATTTAATACTTACTTCCCCTTCTTTAGTAAGAAGAGTAAACGGCTAGTAAACTACCCCGAGCCTCGGTTCGGACCACCGCCCTATTCTATTTACTATCGACCTAGAAACCCGCTCTACTAAATCGACTAAGCCAACAACAACCCGGTTTAATACACGGAGGGCCAACTGGCCTAAATTTCGAGAAATAGTACAACATCAATTAGAGACCCTAGTAGATAATACCCTACAAGACGTCAACCTACTAGGGCCACCTAGTAAAATATCTCGGGAAATAGTTAACGGAAGTAACCTT